CTCCTCTCTTTCTTCTCCATCTCTCTCTCCTCTCTCTCTCCCCCTCCTCTCTCTCCTCTCATCTCTTCTCTCTCCTCTCTCTCTCTTTCTCTCTCTCTCTTTCTTAAGGTTTTGCTCTTTTTTTTCAGGGTGTGTGTGTGTCTTTGGAATTGCAGAAATAATTTTAAAAATGTTTTCAAAAGGGGGGACTTGTTGCTAAATTCCTGCTGTCTTTGGCATTTGTTTTGGTCTTTCAAACTTTTGTTTGTTTGTTTTTGCAAATATAAGGATTGTTGGTTGCTGTCTCTGTTTTTAAGCGGCCTTGGATTATTGTGCCACTTTTAATTAAGAAGCGTTGGGGTTTTTATATCCACGAATGCTCCAATTCTTAGTTCTGGCTTCTATTTTTGTGGGAGAGTTGCGACTGATAAAAATGCTACTTGACTTCATTTATAGAATTAGCAGGTAGTCAAGTTACTACAGGTAGTTTTCCACGTCCAGCCATTTGTTTAGTGACCGTTTGAACCTACCACAGCACTGACTTAGACCATTGTTCACACTTAACAACCGTTGCAGCATTCCCGTAGTCAGGGGATCAAAATCCACACCTTTGGCTATCGCTTCGTATTTATGACCGTTGCAGGTTTTTTTGGGGGGGGAAATCACGCGATCCCATTTTGCAAACTTCTGACAAGCAAAGTCAATGGGGAAGCCTGATTTGCTTAACAACCGTGGGGCTAACATAAACATGTGCATTGATTCACTTAACAACGGTGGTAGGAAAAATGGGGTGAAATTTCCTTAACGCCCGTCTCGCTGAGCAACGGATGTTTAGGGCTCGGTTGTCATAAGTCAAGGACTACCTGTGTAGGGATGTGAGGGATTCTGCTTCCATCCCAGTTAAGCTTAGCTAAAGCTTTTTCGGAGGTCGTTATTGTTTCCCTTGCTTATCTTCGCCATAGCAAAGAATCTCAGACAGTGGAAAATTCCCTCTTCACTTTTCTAATGTGTGTGTGTGTGTGTGTGTGTGTGTGTGTTTTGAAAGAGCACTTTCAGAGTCATCTGTTCAGGACATCTGGAGGGCACAGCTGGCTCCCTATCAGCACCAAGCAGGTTGTTGGTTGTTTGCCTCACAATTTCTCTCTGCTTTCACAAGTTGCTTTTGCACCCTTGGAGATAAAAACGAAGCCCGCCAGCTCAGAATTTGCAATCAGTGTGAAATTTGTAACAGAAGACAAAAACAGAATAACAGAGTTGGAAGGGACTTTGGAGGTCTTCTAGTCCAACCCCCTGCTTAGGCAAGAAAACCTATACCATTCCAGACAAGAGGTGGTCCAATCTCTTCTTGAAAACCTCCAGTGATGGAGCGCGCACAACTTCTTGTGGCAAGCAGTCCCACCGGTGAATAGGCCTCCCTGCCAGGAAATTTCTTCTTAATTCTAGGTTGGCTTCTCTCCTTTGTAAGTTTCCATCCGTTGCTTCTTGTCCTGCCTCCTGGTGCTTTGGAGAATAGCTTGACTGCCTCTTCTTTATAGCAGCCCCTCAAATACTGGAAGACCGCTATCATGTCTCCCCTAGTCCTTCTAAACTAGAGATACCGTTTCCAGGTCAGCTAGTTGTGCAATTGCCTTCCTCTTTTTCTCCCAAACTTCCTTCCTAGCGGTCCTTATGGCCTAATTCTGTTTTCTATTTTGTTCTTAGACGGGCGTCTTTCTCCAGCACAGTTCCTTGGCATTACTACCTATTGTTTTCCACCAATTCCTGCTTTGCAAGCCGTTTCCTACTTCCTTTAGCTACTTACTCCGCGTCTTATCTGGCTGCTTAACTCTTTAAACTCTGCAGCTTCCGAAAGGTACAAATCGCCTCCCCCACCGAGTGGTTTTTAAAGAAAAAAATATAGGGTTTTCTCTGAAAAAGCAGAGTTTGAAATTGTGCCTTTGCGGAGGCACAAAACGGTACCTAGAACGTGTCTAATTGTAGGATGTAAAACAAAATAATTCCGCAAAATATACTTTGCATTTTTCACCTTTTGCCTCGCTCCATTTCAAAGGGCTGTTGCTTTTCTTGTTTGTTTTACATTTACACTTCTTTCTGCGATAGCTACACACGTTCTAGAAAAACAACAAATTCCTGTTCTTGTTTTGAAAAGCCTTAAGGCTGCACTGTAAACAAGTCCGAAACAGTTTCCAATTTGAAAAACTAAAAGTTTGGCTGTTAGAATAAAGGGGAAAAAAAAAAAGTCTTCCTTAATCTTTGTACAGTGAAAGGGACGGCCCAGGACTTAAATCAACATGAAGCCAGGAAAAAAATATATATATATTTTGTTTTTTTACCCCTCGGTGATGTGAAATGGCTTCACTTTTCATAACCCTGAAAGTGATTGATTAT